TTTGGATCCATGTCCTCTGCTGGTTCTGATCCACTGTGTTTTCTGACGTCCAGAGTTCTCGCAGCATCTAGCAGGACATTTTAGAGACTTCATGCTTCTTTCTGCTAACGAGCTTTATGGAGATACTGGTTTATGTTGTTGTTTTTTCATGATGTGCAAGACATAACCATCAAAATTACAAGAAATAAAGGATTGAAATATTTCACTCTGTGTGTAATAAATATACTGTATATAATGAGTTTCACTTGAACTTTTTTTTAACAATATTCTAATTTTTTAGATGCACATGTACATTCAGACAATATGCTGTGCTGCAAAAGAAAGACATATTTGACTGTACATGCACCTAGCCATCCACAATATGCCACGTTTCCTTGATCACCTGAACAGAGCAAAATAAGAGACATTGATCTCATGCAGGAGGAACACCTATAAAGAAAGAGGGTTGATAAAAGAAAAAGAGACAGGAAACGTGCTGTAAAAGCTAAAGGCCTCTTATTGGCACTGAGGCAGGAGAACTAAATTAGTGGTGTAGAGAGACATGAACTTCAAGAGTAAAGGATCAACATAGTTGAGACTTCTCTGCTGGGTTTCAGATCAAATCATTGACTTTGAATTTGTTTTTATTCCAAGCTGTAATTTACACAGAACATAAAGCATATCTCTGTACGTGCAGTATTTTTCACCTCCACCACTGAGGATTGTTGTTCATTAATAATGTGAGCCAACATACCTATCGTTGACTCAGCTCCAGTAATGACCCAGAAAAAACAACCCAAAACCATTAGCTTCGTTCCAAACTCCAGGAATGGAGAAATAAATCCTTATGACACTTTTCAGTCAATTGTAACTTGGAGAGATCTTAAGCCTCAAGCACTTAAAATTATAATTCTGGTGTTGTGAAGTGGCTTTCTGTGGGAAAGTCATGAACAAGTAAAATGTCAACTGCTTTAGATCAACGTATATGTAGATAATCTTTCCATGTAATGTCACTTCAACAGATTTTCAAAGTAAATTACCCAACATAAACAGGTCTCTCTTATAAATGAGTTCTCGAGGCTCAATGAGGTCAACCTGTATAAATAAAGGTTGAATGAATCCTTTAAGTAAGCCTATTTCAATTCTTTTTGTAGTTGTAGTAAAATACAGATGTTGTTTATCCACTTCAGGAAGATCCTGAAAATAATTTCACCTCCAACATCATTATTGTTATTCATGTTTAACTTTGGTTCTTTAAATAAAATTCGACTGCGTTAATGTTTGAGGAATTTCCTCAAATGTAGGAGTAAGGTCGAAATTTGTTTATCAGTCAGTGTAATAAGGCATAACATGCTATCGATGAATCTACATAGATAGAAACAAAGATGCCATGAAGTCTGGGTTGGGGTCTTGACCCAGTAATCCTCTCTGACTGGGTGTACCAGTGACAAGTAAATGCTGTTATGACACAAGGGGTAAGAATAGTATAAAAGCTTTGCAAAAATCTGTGAAGGGGGTTCTGTTTTGGATTCTGATTCTGTTCAGCTGATTTACATTTCTGCACCTCTTCTGTAAACCCTGATTTTTGCTGTCATTAAGAGATTCAGTGTCATCTGTTTTTTAATGAAAGATCAAGTCTTTGCATGTTGTTTGGCTACAACAACATCACTAAGATTAGAAACATCCATCCATTATATTTACCCACTTCTTACTTTTTGGGTCATGGGGGTCACTGGTGCCCATATCCAGCAGTCACTGTGCGAGAGGCGGGGGGCACCCTGGACAGGTCTCCAGTCCATCACAGGGACACATAGAGACAAACAAGACAAACAACCATTCACTCTCTCTCTCACACATAGAGACAATTTAAAGTTACCAATCAGTCTAACATACATGTTTTTGGTCTGTGGGAGGAAACTGGAGTACCCGGAGAAAACCCACGCATGCACGGAGAGAACATGCAAACTGCACCCAGAATGGCCCCCCGGACCAGGATTCGATCCGGCAACCTTCTCGCTGAGAGGCGGCAGCTTTACCAACTGCGCCATCTGCTGGTCCATGTATTTATCATTTCTGTCCATGAGGCTGACACATTGTCTACTTTTAAGATTAAGCTTAAGTCTTTCCTTTTTGATAAATCCTATACTGTAGTTAGTGTTGGCTTGGGTTTCCTGAGCTATCCCTTAGTTATCCTGCTATAGGCTTAAACTGTTGGAGGGCAAACTGACCACATTTCCTCACTCTGCTGCTGTCTTTACTTACTCTACCTGTCTGTATTTTAATTATTTCCACCTTAACATGTTTTTGTCTTTCTTCCAATAGAAGGTACATCTGGACCTGCCATTCTGTGAAGTGCTATAGAATAAACTGAATTGAACTGTGTGTTCCCTCAAAACTTGTGACATCTGGGGCATTGTGTTGTGATAAAACTGCTTCTTCTTGTTGTTTTATTGGCGGTTGGCAAACAACTGAAGGAAGCATTACCGCCACCAACTGGTAAGGAGTGTGGAGATAAAACTGCTTATTTTAGAGTGGCCTTTTATTGTGGTCAGCCTAAGACACACCTGTGAAATAATCATGCTGTCTAATCAGCATCTTGATCTGCCACACCTGTGAGGTTATTGGATTATCTCTGTAAAGAAGTGCTCACTAACACAGAACAATATTTGAGAGGAAAAGATCTACTGTGTGCATAGAAACAGTCTTCAATCTTTGAGTTCAGCTCATGAAAAATGGAAGCAAAAACAAAAGTATTGCATTTGTATTTTTGTTCAGTATAGTAGAAGTTTTCGTTCTTTTGACCTACTTTAAAGTTGTAGAAAAGACCTTTCCAAACCTTCACTGCATCATAAACTCATGTTCTTCAAGGCTGATGAGCTCTGCTGAAAGAATACACAGAAAAATGTGTCCACTTTGATATGTTGGTGTCTCGATTATGAAACATACATTTGACATGAGACAAAAGTTGTTTCAATAATGTGATTCCTGAAGATCACGTTTATTTTATTATGTTCACAAGACAACATATCTTTTATTGTTATCTTTCCATAACAAAGACACATTTTTAAAATTTTTATGATAAGAAATTGACCTTATAAATTCTAATTTATTTTAAAAAGTTTATTTTATAGTTATTGGACACAAGGAATTCAACCAGCACAAGTGGAATTTTCTATGGTATTTTTTATGCTACTCTAAGGCTGTTCATTGTTAATTAATGAAAAATATTGATGAAGTGATGTCTTAACAATTTCAAATTCAAGAAAACAGATAAAGTTCCCATTTAAAAAGATATTATCAACGCTAATTATTTACCTGAAGCAAACAAGACATCACATTTCATTTTTCGTGTTCTGATGCTTTCCGATTGTCATGACTGAAATCCTAAAAGTTAGAATAATTCCTTCATTTTCTAAACCTGCTTTGTTTTGCTCAGAGTCATTGGAGAAATTTGCTGGAGATGATTACAGTTTTCATTTGGTAAATTTCAAAGTACATTCTGGAAATATTATCAGTCGACCAGTAAAGCTGAAGGCAGGAGTAAATAAAGCAAACAGTCCTGCCGGGGGTTTGGTGATAATTTTGTGATTTTGCAAAATCATAGAGGGTTTTTTTAGATGCTTAAGTTAATTTTTTCCCAGACTGTTTACAACTTATCGGTATACGTTTTGATGTGAGGGTGTGCTGAATCAAACCACTTCTAATAAAACTGAATCACTCAGTCATTAGAAAAGGGTATGAGGTGTGATGTTGCACTTAGGTATAACAAAGTCAGCAAACCCTTTTTTGTTGAATAAAATTTGTTTTGTTTCGTTTTAAGAATCATTCAGAAAAATGATGTTCAGTTTGTTAAATCATGTGACAAAAGAGGGTTGAAAACATATTTCTTCTTCTGATGTATCCTTTGCTAACTCATAAACGTTATTAGGACGTGTTTGGAGTTATAAATTAATTTTGTGGTATAATAAAAACTTTTCTGGAAACCTTAAGAAAGACGTTATGGCTCTAAAGGCTAAACCAGGGCTGTTCAACTAAACTGCTCAGGGAACCACAGTTACTGAAAGCCAAGAGCTCAGGGGCCGGACATCCAGAAGTTATTTATATTAAGTAAGTTTGTTTAATGGTTTAAAATCTAGTTTTATTTAAAAATAAATCCATTGGTGGACTGAACTGAGTCCATCCGTGGGCCTGATTTGGCCCATGGGCCACCAGTTGAATAGCCCTGGGCTAAACTGTTTCAGGGAGAAATTAAAATAAAACACTGCTGCAGAGAGTGAACCGCAGACTTAGTAAAAAACAAAACAAAACAGAAATAAAAAAGAATGCTGTTTTTAAAATCCTAAATCTTCCTGGTGACATTATATAATCAGTTTGGGGCGCAGATTATGTGATTACACTGTACACCAAAATCATCTGGTACATTTAGGAATATTCGGCATACACAACTATAATTTTAGCATAATTGTTCAAATCAGTTTCACTCTCTTGCAGCATGAGGTCCCTGATTGCTATAAATGTTTTTGTATGATAGTTACATGTTCAGTTTCTTCAACATCCTCTCTTTGCAACACGATTTATTAATGCTTTGTAGTGAAACTACTAGCGGTGGTTATTGCAGAAGACTTTTGAAGTGTGCACCACGCAGCAAGTTGCCAACTTGCTCAGATCCTCCGTCATTTCCTGAGAAAGAGAAGGTTCCAGTGCTGTGACTGACTACCAGAAAGTACAGTGGGGCGGCTGTGGCTGAGTGGTTAGAGCAGTCGTCCTCCAATGCGAGAGTTGGGGGTTCGAATCCACCAGCAGTCACATGCTGAAGTGTCCCTGGGCAAGACACTGAACCCCTCATAGCCTCTGATGTGTGTCCCATCAGTGTATGAATGTGATCTAAAGCACTGATTATTCTCATTAGAATGATTTGTTCAATTAGCTTTGTAGAGATCTAGTAGAGTGCTGCATGAATGGGTAAATGAAGACACAGATTGTTGTGTAAAGCGCTTTGAGTATCTTGAAATAAGATAGAAAGGCGCTATATAAGTACAGTCCATTTACAGTCCCGATGCCAGCTGCTGCCGCCCATCACGGCTAGTCCCAGGTTTAGTACTCATCTTGTAGTTTTTGTTTGTTTTATTGCAGTTTTGAAGGGACATGATGGATGCCGGATGCAGGCCTCCACTGTGCATCTAAACGTGTGCTCCATGGCTCCATGAAGCAACATCTTCTGTCCTGGCAGTCTGTCCACATCCCTGTTCAGTTCACCAGTGAAAGTTATAGTCTTTACTTTAGTCAGTGTGTTGAACCAGAATCAGAGCACACGCATGCTCTCTGCACAGTCCTGTGAAGAAAATAAAAAGAGAAGCTGTGACAAGTTTTTGAACCAACATTAGTTTCTAAGAGAAGAGATGCAAAGTAAACCATAGTCATTGTTTAGCTTATATAGTGAGGTTCTGTGGTAAGACTGTGAACAATTAACATATTACCTGTTGCAGATAGCTCTTAGAATGACCAGTTTTGACAAATAAAGGTTAATCCTGATTAAAATATTGATCTAATGACTAGTCTGAGTCATGCCAACGTTAGAGTTGGTTGTTGTCTTCTTTAAACAACGCTAATTTCAGAAGTTTCAAGGCAATTCATTCAAGAGCATTTTTATAAACTTTTGCATTGCCATAAATTTTGTGTTAAATTGTTCTTTACCTAGACTTGGGCAGAAGTCCCTCACTACCTCGTGGTTCATTTATTGCAGACTCGCTCTATCGCGGTTTTTCAAAATAAGATTGGACATACACAATTGGCTGACTGATGGATGAGCCGCACGATTGGCATGGATTTTTATTTAAAATAAATTATTTAGCACCAGCTGCACTTTTGTGCAGCCCTTACTGCAGGATAAGCTTCCTGCTGCAGCTGATCAGCTGTTCTCCATGAAGAGCGGAGAAGTGGGCGTGGCCAAGAACGCTTGGAGGTGGCAGAGAGCAGAGGAGGCAGGGAGCTGAAATCATAATATTCTGTGCTCTTTTAGAGCGTTTAGAGTTTAGAAACATTGTTTAGAATATCGCAAGAGTGTGGGAAGAGTTAAAAACACCTATGTATATATATATATAAAGTATTATTCTTTCAGCTGCTCCCTGTGTTAGGGGTCGCCACAGCGAACTCAGTCGCACGAAGACATGGCAGTTATTTTTACGCTGGATGTCCTTCCTGACGCAACCACAGACCACCGAGCTACCACAGCCCTCTGTGTGGAGCAGAGAGCTGCTATCTAGGACACCTGTAGGAGCAGATGGTGGGGGTTAAGGGCCTTGCTAAAGGGCCCAGAGTGGGACAAATGAGGGTGGGGGGCAGTTGTGGGTGCTTCACCTACCCCACCCACATTTTTGATGTTGTCTGTACCGGTGCTTGAACCGGCGATCTTCTGATCACAGGCCCACCTTCTCTAACCTCAGGGTACAGATCCCCCGCGATAGACGAGGGACTACTGTATTGTCATTTGCACTTACAAATATCATTAACATTTTATTTACTTAGACTACAAGCATGTCTTTAAGACATAAGAACCTGGATGACCCTTAATTTTTTCCTTTTGAACACAGACACTGAGGTTTTGGTTTTTACCTGAGCACCTTAGGAATGAATTTTTCAGTCTTTCTCCCTCCTTAGATAGCATTAATCTGTCCTCCAGCTCTAATGTTAAAAATATTGGTGTTATTTTTAATCAGGACATGTCTTTTATTCCCCACAGTAAAAACGTTACAAGAACTGCTTTCTTCCACCTGCGTAATATCACTAAAATGAAAAACATCTTATCTAAAAATGATGTAGAAAAACTGGTCCATGCATTTGTCACGTCTAGACTGGACTATTGCAATGGTTTTTTATCTGGGTGTCCAAATACTTCCTTAAAACGTCTTCAGTTGATCCAAAATGCTGCTGCCAGAGTCTTAACCGGAGTTAGTGGGAGAGATCATATTTCTCCAGTTTTAGCTTCTTTCCATTGGCTCCCTGTCAAATCCAGAATAGAATTCAAAATCTTACTTCTAACCTACAAAGCTCTCAACAACCAGGCTCCATCTTATATTACAGATCTTATTGTTCCATATTTTCCTAACAGAGCACTTCGCTCTCAGGCTGCAGGTTTACTTGTGGTTCCTAGAATTTACAAAAACAGAATGGGAGGCAGATCTTTCAGTTATCAGGCTCCTCTCTTGTGGAACCAACTTCCAATCTCTGTCCGTGAGGCTGACACATTGTCCAGTTTTAAAACTAGGCTTAAGACTTTCCTTTTTGATAAATCCTATAGTTAGGGTCGGCTTGGGTTTCCTGAGCTGTCCCTTAGTTATGCTGCTATAGGCTTAGACTGCTGGAGGACAAACTGACCACAATTTTCACTCTACTACTGTCTTTACTTACTCTGCTCAACCTGTTTTGTATTTGTAATTATTTTTTCTATCCTTAACATGTGCTTTTTTGTCTTTCAGATACACCTGGACTCATACCTGGACCTACCATTCTGTGTTTGTCTGTCCTCTCAAACCAGCCGGTCAAAGCAGATGGTCAAAAATCCCTTTTAAAAGGGAGTTTTTTCTTTCCACTGTTGCCACATGTCTGCTGGATTCCTTAGATAGAGAACTTTACTAATTGGCTTTTATTTATGTGAGTGTTTCTGTAAAGTGCCCTGAGACAACCTTGTTGTGATTTGGCGCTATATAAATAAACTGAATTGAACTGAATTTATATTTTTGGTTATGAGCAGCAGCACGGTGGCACAACTAGAGGTAAAGCTGCTGCCTCTCAACGAGCAGGTCCCTGGTTCAAATCCCGGACTGGGGGCCTTTCTGGGTGGAGTTTGTATGCTCTCTCCATGCATGTGTGGGTTTTCTCCAGGTGCTCCGGTTTCCTCCCACAGACCAAAAACATGCATGTTAGGCTGATTGGTAACTCTAAATTGTCCCTAGGTGAGTGAGAGCGTGAAAGGTTGTTTGTCTCATTTGTCTCCATGTGTCCCTGTGATGGACTTGCGACCCGTCCAGTGTGTACCCCGCCCCTCACACAGTGATTGCTGGACATGAGCACCGGCGAACCCCATGACCCAAAATGGAAGAAGCGGGTAAAAGATATTGTATGTATGGATGGTTATGAGCACTTTCAGCAGGATTTTCATATCACTGCTACCAGAACAACCACTTCATGAGGAGTTCAGAGCAATGCAAATGTTAATAATTAGTACACATGTAAACCAATAGAATTTTTTCTAGACTGGAGCCAAGGGCAGGTATTCCACCTCATTGGAGGGGAACAGTAAACAAAGAATTTTTAAGAGCAACTCTTTGTGTGTGTGTGTGTGTGGGGGGGGGGGGGGGGTACAGTTTCCCTTAAGATACAGTCAAATATACTGTTGTAATATGAAATGAAAATGAAACATTAATATCTGTGTTCTCAGGCAGACAAGTTGCACAAACTAAACTAACAAGAGCACCAAACATCTTTCTCCACTCTCCCCGCGCTATTTGTTTCTTTAATGCTTCATGGTCACGCGGTCATGTGACCACAAGTGGTACGGCTTTACAATAAGGCTCCCCATAATATTAGTTATAGATACTTATAATGCAGTGATAAAGTATAATATTATATGCTAAAGAAATAGGTTTACAAATATTTATTGTTCTTACAAGGTAGTAACTTAGTCTGAAATGTTTAGCATAACAACTCTAGATGAAATATATAGGTGAACAGATTTGACTCACTATTTGGAAAGAAACTGGTCAGTTTTGTCTCTCTGTCACCCTTAATTAATGCATAATAAACAATTATTAATGATTTATAAAGTGTTTATAGAGGTCCATAATCTTTGTGCATAATCTCACTTCAAAAATTTTTAAGATTATTTTATGTGTTATATACCCATAAAGTAGCTTTTAGGCTCAGGTACTTGTGTTGTACGTTCTTCAGCAGCTGCTAGTCTGCAAGAAGAAGAAAAGAAAAGACTCAGCAACCAGATATTTACATGAACAATTGTTTGACCTTTACTTTTTAAGGTTTTGAATCACTATCTTAATAATAAAATTAAAGAAACTGCAGTCAACAGCCTATACTATACACCAAAATGTATTTATGTTGAATTCTTCCTAAGTAAGTATGTTTAATAAGAATAATTTAAAAAGATGTGTTGCAGTTGTTCACCTTTTCGTGTGGACTTGGACTGACTTGCAGCCACAGTGGTCAGATCTGCTGGTAGACCCACATATACACCTCCATAATTTCTAAAACCAGGAGAGAGGATGTCAGTTTAGAAGTTCATGTTTGGGAGATGGCACACCTTACGTTTACATTCAGTCAAAAAAAGGTGCATTAAACACGTAGATATATTCTAAACCAACATAGTTTAGACATGTCATAGTTGAAAACAGACAATTATAGCCCGCCGCAGAAAGAAAAAGGTTTTATGAGTTTTGTCCATATGTGTTATTGTTTGTCTGTAGCACTCAAGATGACTGCCACAGCTAAACAACACAAGTCTATGTCTAAAGTGCCAAGTCACAACAGAAGTCGTCTCAGTGCACTGAACAGAAATATTCATATATATATATATATATATATAAAGCCAATTAGTAAAAGTTATATATCTAAGGAAGCGAGCAGGCAAATTGAATCTTCACTTCGTCACAGTCTTCCATCCTTGAAGTAGCAAGCACAAAGGAGACAGTGGAAAGGAAAAACTTTTTAACAGGAAGAAACCTCCAGCAGAACCAGGCTCAGGATGAGCTGCCATCTGCTTCAACCAGCTGGGTTTGAGAGGAACAGGAAGGAGAAACTGACAAATAAACTGAGCTGAAGTTTAGGTGTGGTAGTAGCTGAGGGTCAACCTCAAGACACACAGTCAGGGCTATTCAACTGGTGGCCCGATGGCCCAATCAGGCCCACGGGTGAGCTCAGTTCGGCCCAACAATGGGTTCATTTTTATATAAAATTAGATTTTAAACCATAAAACAAACTTAATGACAATAACTGCTGGATGTCCTGCCCATACATTCTCAACACAGCGCTGAATGGCAGCGGGCAACATGCATTCCGTCAAGATATGTTCAGCCTTTTATTTATCTAACTGAGGCCTTGTGGGTCATTTTGACACAAGGGCAGTACGAGGGTTAACATTAAACTGCTTAGTTATAGAAACAAGAGTTAAGTATGGTAAATACAACACTTTAAGGTGTCATTGATGACAAAATCTAAAAATATTTATCATTAAAAAAACTACACAAAGCAAAAAGATCAGGGTTTGAGAATCCACACCTGCTAAAATACTTTCATTCAAAACAATCCAAGGCATCAAGGTGACTAAAATCACAAAAAGCTTTGAAAAATTACCTTCTTTTCTCATCTTCTGCCAAGGGATCTTCTGTCCTGATTGAAAGAAGAATGACGGTCAGGTCAACTGTCAGGTGGAGCGTGGACAAAAACTGACAGAAATAATAACGAGAAGTGACAGCAGACACTTGACTGTGGAGGAGTGTTTTGCTTGGCTGCAGAACATTTAAGGTGCGCTGCAGGGATCTAATTTCCTGGCAGCAACAACTGATGACTGAATTGGCAATTATCGTTTCAGCCAAGCCGTTGAACAACCAGTTCCCAGAGGCCTTGGGTTTGTTGTTATTTGGTTGGATGGAGCTGACACGAAGCTGCACACAAAATAATGAAATAGAGCTCTGCTGGCAATTTTTATTTGTATGCTGTTCTGTTTTCCATGTGATGCCTGAGTGCACACCTGTGTGGTTGTTTTTCTATCTTTTGTGTTTGTGGGCTCTAGACTCTGGTTCCCCTCTAAATTCAGAGTAAGGTTCAGCTTAGGTCAGGATAACGTGCTTGGAAAGAATAGCTCTTCTAAAAAAAACAGGAAAAAAAACAAGGGGTGTGTGCAGATGCACTTGTTTTTGTGATATTTTTGCTGTGTTGTTCAGTTCTGGGAAGTTCTGATTAGTAAGGCAGGCTCTTCAGTCAGCTCTCCTGGGCCCTAAACTGGCTGCTCAGATGGCTCGCAAGAAGCATACATGCTGACAGAGTGGGTACAAAATGCACACAAACATGCAGACTCGCATGCAAGCTTGTAAAGCTGCTCTTGTTAAGACTAAATGATCTTTATAAGCCTTAGCTAAATCCTAACATGACCATAAATAATACATATGTGCCATACTTTCTGTGCCTGAAGTGTAAAAGTGTAAAATAAATGTTAAGCTAAGATTAACTCAACATTTATTTTACACTTTAACTCACACCAGAACTTAACATATGATCTGTCTAACCAGGACAAGCCTCGAGTTCTGAAAAGGACTGCTGATTTAGAGGAAATCAACATTTATTCCAGAAAAGATCCCACTGAGGTAATTACTGTGATGTGCAAACACTCATCTTTGATCGTCCCACACATTTCTGGGGAAATGCTCAGGAAGTGCAGCTCATGGCTGAACAAAGTCTCTATAATGGTGCAAGATGACCAATCTATATCTAAGAAAAGTCTTTCTAAAAGCAGAAAATGGTGCTTACACACGTGTGTTTCTACACCTTTTTTGGTTTGTTGTTAGACAGTTTTCCTGAACAGAGACAGTTCACGGTGCTGGGCTGCAGAAACTTGAATGAATAAAAATAATGCAATAAGAAAGACCTACATGCTTTTTCATTAACACAGGACTTTTTTTTATTTTGTTTTATTGTATTTTTTATATGGTTTTACCTGATGAAGATCCAGTTTGGATCCAAGCCTTTAGTCATATAAATCAGTCCTGTATCGAGGCTTTTCCTCATTCATTCGTTATTATTCACATTCAGCCCTTTTCAAAAATAAAAGAACTGAATTTCAAGTGTCTTGAGATGTAAACAGTTTAAATCATTTTGTATGAGCTTTACTAATAAACATCCAATGTTTTTATGTAGATATTTCTGCAGCTTTTAAACATTTAGTCATATTTCATATGATAATGAGAATAGTAAATATATATGGCTAACTTAATAAAATGTGCAGATGCATGAGATCTAGAGGCCAGAGATGATAGTTTCATGAATACCTGAAATCATGAAAAATGGCTCATACTTACACATCTTTGGAAGCTTCTGCAGGCCCTGAAAATGGATGGAAAGACCAGATTTAGCTTTGGTTTGAAAGGTATCAAAGGAAGCCTGCTTCTACATGTTTCTGCTTAAACAGTTGTTGGATTATACAACTTTTGTTCAATGTTCAGCATATGATGATTGTTTCTGAGCAAGTTACCGTACATATTTGGTCAGTCAATCAGCCAAATATTAACTCCATAAATCTAAAGTAAGACCACTCCTGAGGTGTAAAGATGTTGGAAATGATTTATTGTCTGCCCAGTCCTATAAATAACAATTAATCATAGTTTGACTGATTGCCGTATGCTGCTGCTATATACTCCTGGTGACTTTATTTTTAAGCTCCATCCAGCATTATAACACAAAAAATAAGAGTTATTATAAACACAAACCTTAAGAACTTTGAGTTCCATGAAACCACATGTGAATTCAGCAGAACACCACAGAAAAGTGTCAGACCAGAATAAGAAACTGTCTGAATCATTGTCAATCTGACAAACTTGCTGAAATCACATGAAGGAACAGAAGTATTAGCAGTCACCATAATAAAGTACTCAGTAGTTTTGAATACACATTAACAGTGTAAACAATCACTAATTTCTGACATTTCACACTTTAACTCTCCTGACAAAACAGAAATGTTAAATTAAATGTTATTTTAATTGTTCACATTAATTAAAATTAAGTCTCTTAATTCACAATGTTTATGGGGTGTAAAGTCACATTATCCTGAATTTACACATAATAGGAATATGTGTAAATTGGGGAAGTGGTGGTGCAGAAGTTAGAGAAGGTGGCCTATGATGGGAAGGTCACCCGTTTTACTCCCTGGACCAACATCAAAATGTAGGTGGGAAAGGTGAAACACCCACACCTGCCTCCACTTTCATTTGCCCCACTCTGGGCTCTTGAACAAGGCCCTTAACCCCCACCATCTGCTCCCCCGGGTGCCCTAGATGGCAGCTCCCTGCTCCACACAGAGAGCTGTGGTAGCTTGGTGGTCTGTGGTTGTGCCAGGAAGGACATCCGGTATAAAAACATTTGCCACGTCTTTGTGCGAGTTAGTTATCTGTGGCCACCCCTGAAAAAAGGAGCAGTCGAAAGAAAGAAAAAAGCGAATATGTACAAATTCAGGATAATGTGAAATGTATAATTATTAACCAATGTTAGCTTAGAATGAATAAGCAAAGTCTGACAAAAATAAAAGGTTTATTATTACAGGGTTGGTTGTAAACCCCGTGGTAATTAATGGAGGTTTGTTGACTATGCAGGCACACAGACAGACCAATAATAACTCTAAACTTTTATTAAAGGAAAAGGCTGATATGGTAATATATTACAAAAAAGTATCAGGATTAAAAATACAAAAATAAAATAAAATAAAAATCTTCAGAGCAGGATACACTAGAACTGAACTAGCAAAAAGATCAGTAGTATAAATAACTCAGTGATTAATGAGTGAATGCAGCTGAGCTAATTAGCAGATGCAGAGGAGGTAAGTGGAGTAATGAGCAGAGGCACAAGGAAAAATGAAGTAAACTGAAACTGGAAAATGTTTGATTCAACAAGGAAAGGCATAACTAATAAACACAAAAAACACTCAAAATAGAACCATAAACCCAAAGATCATCTCACGTTTTAATGCCAAAACATCCTACTGGGATTACAACAAAAATGGGCCATATGGGCACTTAAAGAATGCCTGCATGAGGTTATATGGCAGACACTATTTCACAGAAACATAACTCCAGTTGAATCACTTTCCAGGACATATTACAAAACTCACCATGAAGTGTTATAATAAATTTAGTTGCAAATGTTATGTGAGAATCTGTATTTTGTTCCATTTAGTTCCTTGTGTTTCCTGCACTCCCCAGTGTTTTCCCTCCTTGTTGTCAGCTCCTTTCTCACTTGTCTCTCTTCCTAATCACCCCAGGCGTTTGTCTTGATGTCTCGTTAGTATCCCTATATATTCAGCATTTCTGTGTTTTCCTTTGTCCGTGGATTGTGCTGGTTATATTCTGTTCCTATTGTCGTTCCTACATGCATGTAAGTTTTTTGCTGCACTGACAGCTGTTGATTTTATTTTTCTTATTAATAAATTAATTCTTCATTTTTCCCTCGGCGTCTCTTGTGTCTGCCTGCACATGGGTTCAACATTAAATCACAAAACATGATACTTTTTCAGACATTTAAAACTGGTTTTATGGATTTTATTAATACTGCATGGGAAAACTACATAATTTACACAATGTTTAGTGTTACCACTCCTAAAAGACAAAGAAGATCAAATAAGTAATATACGGATGCAGTTAGTAAAGACATTAAGGTAGTTGTAGTGAGGACAGAGGATGAGAAGGGCAGAATAAGATGATTGAGGACTTGCCGTGGTTTCCCCTGAAGCAGGAACAGCCAAAAGAATAATAAAGAAATTTAGTGTTTGCATTCCTATTCCCAAATTTAGCATTTTGCACAAACATGACAAAACAAACAGCAGAAGATTACTTGAATTTTTTAATATCAAATTAATATATTCCTCTGCTTAGTTTAGAAGTTGAAGTTTGCTCAGTATTAAGAAATATCAAATAGGTTTTACTCTGCAGCTTCAGTGCTTTCTAATTAAGTGCATTTTCTTTAGCTATTTTAACCTAAGCTGAAGGGAAGCAGAGTTTATATTTATGTGAATGCTGATGTTTTCTTGTTTTTTTGGTTGGTTGTTTTGGCTTTTTGTGTGTTATTTTCCCATTACAGTAGTCCCTCACTCCATAGCGATTTTTCAATGACTGTCAACTTTAATATTACTCACGTGATTGGGACGGTACGGGATAAAAAGTTAACAACTAAAAAGTACTTCAGACAGGAGCCGCCATTTTGTAGTTTTCTTTCAATAAGCCTATACTGTAAGGCCAGTCAAAAGAACTACACTACCCAGAAGCCAACAGTGCTTCCGGATTATGCTTTCTGCAGAAATGGAGGGAAAGTTTTGCAACACAAAGTCAGAAGTAATGATCTATCTATAAATGGTAAATGGACTGTACTTATATAGTGCCTTTCTATCTTATTTCAAGATACTCAAAGCGCTTTACACTACAATTTGTCTCCTCATTTACCCATTCATACAGCACTCTACTAGATCTCTACAAAGCTAATTGAACAAATCATTCTAATGAGACTAATCAGTGCTTTAGATCACATTCATACACTGATGGGACACACATCAGAGGCTATGAGGGGTTCAGTGTCTTGCCCAGGGACACTTCGGCATGTGACTGCTGGTGGATTTGAACCCCCAACTCTCGCATTGGAGGACGACTGCTCTAACCACTCAGCCACAGCCTCCCTATGAAGCTCACAGAACTGGCAGTATAGTTGTAAATAATCCTGAAGCTTCTTGAAGCTCAATTATCCACGCGCACATCAACCTGGATGGGGCAGTGGGCTTCATGCTGCAGGACAGTTCTGTTTCGTATAGGCTTCGCCCTTTAAGACTGTCGCTAGTGGGTTTATCCCTAGGCGCGCAGCACAGCACTGAAAACTTTAGTCCACGCCCACCTGCTGTGTGGGCCTTACCCCCGGTCTGTATAAATTACGGTGAGACCAGGTAATTGGCTCCCATTTTTTCTTCAGCCAGCTAGCTAGCACTGTCAGAAGAACGAAGAAGGAAAAGTGGTCCAGCTTTGACTGGCACAGCCTTTGCTAAGAATGCCTGGGTCTCCGCCACGCCAACCTCCTGCCTTCCCAGTGAGTTCTTCCTCCCCGAGGAGAAGCAGACGAGCAGCCTTGTTCAAGGTAAGCACCGAGGAGTGCTTTTCCGTGGCAGGCCGCTACCCGCTGGACGATGCCATTGCCGTTTCTAACGGTTTTTTTCCCCCACGGTAATCAATGTTTTTAATCAATTTAATCAAATTTTTTCAGATGTTTAACAACCTGTTAAAATGCATCAAAATGCAGGAAATTGCATCTCTTATTCAAAATTTTCCAGGGGAGGACCCATGGGACACCCCCCCCCCCCCCCCCCCCCACACACACACGCACCACCCTGCATCAACCCCCCCTCCCGCACTGCATCCCCACCACCACCGCCCTGCCTGCTATTTGTGTTCCGGCATCAATTGGTTTACAAATTAAGCCCTGCTCATGACCATAGGTGAGGGTAGGAACATAGACCGACAGGTAAACAGAGAGCTTTGCCTTACAGCTCAGCTCCCTCTTCACCACAATGGACCGGCACAGAGTCTACAATACTGCAGATGTTGCACAAATCTGTCTGTCATATCTCACGCTCCATTCTTCCCTCACTAGTGAACAAAACCCCAAGATACTTGAACTCCTCCACTTGAGGCAGAACCTCCACTTGAGGCAGAACCTCACCTTTGACCTGAATAGAACAATCCACCCTTTTTCGGTTGAGGATCACAGCCTCAGATTTGAAGGTGCTGATTCTCATCTCAGCTGCTTCACACTCGGCTGTGAACCACTCCATTGAGAGCTGAAGATCACAGCACGGTGATGCCAACAGGACCACATCATCTGCAAAGAGCAGAGATGGAATCCTGAGGCCACCAAACCGGAATCCCTATGCCCCCTGGCTGCAGCAAGAAATTCTGTCCATAAAAGTTATGAACAGAATCGATGACAATGGGCAGCCCTGGTAGAGTGTAACTCCCACCCTAAAGGGGTCCGACTTACTACCGGCAATGCAAACCAAACTCTCGCACCTCTTGTATAGGGATTGAAGAGCCCGTGACAACAGACCCCCAATTCCATACTCACAGAGAACCCAGCCATAGTGTTGTTGATACTTTCTGGGTTGTTAATATAAAAGTTTGATATGTTTACACAAATTACAGTTTACTTTAAAATGATAATTAAAGTGTTTGCCTGCAGTTTTAGCTCTGAGTCTCAGAAAGGATCAGTACTTTGTGGAAATGGAAACATTGATACCAGTTTATTTTGTTCATCAATTTTATCATCACTCTTAATAGTCATTTACTTTATATCACACTCTGTTAAAGCTTATCTAAAACTGTAGCAGCTGTACCTCTCCAACATCAGTGTGAAACCTTTTAACTTCCGTTTCTCAAACCCAGCTCCAGAACCAGTCACTGACCACAAACGTACTGTCTGTTTGTTCTCTGATAAGATTGCAAATGAGGTAACGCCT